ACGAGCAGCATGGAAGTTGTGGGGCCCAACATCAAAGGCCACCCCTTCTACAGGTAAGCTGAGGTTCCCTCAGTACTTTCAGAGCCCCATCTCCCCTTAGCATTAAGAATTTTCCCTGTCCCTCAACTAGGGGCAACGAGGACACCCCCTATGAAGCAGTGCACAGTCACCCCTATCCTTGCAGCAAGGCCCAAGCTGAGCGGCTGGTCCTGGAAGCCAACGGAAGGGAGGTGAGACAGGAGGCAAAGTTGGAGTGGGGAGGGCTGCCTGTCCCAGGCAGAGCTGGCACCAGTGGGACTTCTTTGCAGTCTGCCCTGGGCCCCTCCTCCCTTCCATCTCCAATGTGAGGAGGCCAGGCCAGAGGGCAGGCTGCTGGGTACTGGGTCTTCGCTATGCCTGCCTTTCACCCCCAGGTCCATGGGGGGCTGCCCCTGGTGACATGTGCCCTGCGTCCCACTGGCATCTACGGTGAAGGCCACCAGATCATGCGGGACTTCTACCACCAAGGCCTTCGCCTAGGGGGTCGGCTCTTCCGGGCCATCCCAGCCTCCGTGGAGCATGGTCGGGTCTACGTGGGTAAGGCCCGGGCTACACAGCGGGGAGGCTAAGAATGGGGCAGGATCCGTGTGGTCCCGGGTGGGCAGTGTATGCCGTGGCCAGCGAAGGGTGAGCCACACATGGGCCGGAGTGACCAGATATGCCGGCCTTGTCTGCCCAACTCCAGAGGAAACAGTATCCATATGAGCTGGGAAGGCTGATGTAAAACACATGTCACCAGCCAAGGACAGGATGGCAATCATGGGAGCGGCATCTCCCCAGGAGAGGTGAAGGGCAGCCCCTGTACGGGAGCCCCCAAAGAAGTAGCATGCACCCCGGCTGGCCCAGGAGGGCGAGTGGGGAGAAAGCAGCCTTTACAAGAGCCCCTTGGACATGGGCCAGCCCAGGAGAGAGCAGCCTCTCCGTGGGCTCTGGGGCACTCGGGACCACGTCTGCCTCCCCCCACACCGGCAGGCAATGTGGCCTGGATGCACGTGCTGGTGGCCCGGGAGCTAGAGCAGCGAGCAGCACTCATGGGCGGCCAGGTGTACTTCTGCTATGACGAGTCGCCCTATAAGAGCTACGAGGACTTCAACATGGAGTTCCTGGGCCCCTGCGGGCTGCGACTGGTGGAGTCCCGCCTGCTGGTGCCCTACTGGCTGCTGGTGCTTCTGGCTGCTCTCAACGCCCTGCTGCAGTGGCTGCTGCGGCCCCTGTTTCTCTACGCCCCCCTGCTCAACCCCTACACGCTGGCTGTGGCCAACACGACCTTCACCGTGAGCACTGACAAGGCGCAGCGCCACTTTGGCTATGTACCCCTGTTCTCGTGGGAGGACAGCCGGACCCGCACCATCCACTGGGTGCAGACCATGGAGGGCTCAGCCCGGTGACGGTGGAGCTGGGGCCTGGAGCTTGGTGCGTGGCATGTCCGACTGTCCAGGTCCAGGGCCCTCCAGCCCTTGGGGGCAGAGGGGCCGGTGCCACACCGGTTCGCCTGCCTTGTAGCTCCCACGCTTCTAAGCCACAAGCCGTGAGTCTGCATCCTCACGCCTCTTAAGTCCTGGGGCAGGGTTTTGGGACAGGCACATCTTCACTCTCAACCCAGGCCCGACAGCTGGCTGGTGAGTGTCCGATGGCCCGATTGTTCTCACTTTCCTGTCCCATCTGGCTTTTCAAGCAGGAAGTGAGAAGGGGTCCCACGGGCTTCGTGCTGGCCTTCTGAGGCCTGGATTCGGCCTGAAGATCCTTTCTGGCTCCTCCTGCCACCTGGGGCCCTCTTTGAGGGTCATAGTCTCATTATTTTAAAAAAACATTTATCACCTTTTGACAGCTCTCTCTGTTCTTCAATGAAGCCTTAGCAAATCTGCAGGTTTTCCCTTGTTCCCACCTCTCCACCCAAATTAGTTCCTACAGTATTGTGCTGTACCCAGCCGAGCCCTGGATTAAAGCTCCTAATCCAAGCCTGTGTCCGTCTACCTGTCCAGTTCCCCCTCCTGCTTCCCACCCTGTCCCCCACGGCGCCTGTCCCACGTGGGGACAGAAGGAAGTGAGCACACAGCATGCCCGCTGTTGGATTGGTTGCTATTTCTCCCGTCCCACAGGGCCCAACCCGGCCCGGGGTGGGGGTGGGGGGCTCTGGGGACAGGACATGCAGGGTGGGGGGGGGGGGGCAGAATTTTCCTGTGTTTTATCCATTTGCAACTTGGTCACCAATAGAAATGGGACTCTGAGGGCTAACAGGAGAGGGTGGCCTGGCTCTGGGCCCCCAGCCAGGCCCCAGGAGTCCTGTCCCCTCCTGGGAGGAGAGGGAAAGAGCTCTAGAAACCAACAGAGAAACAGAAGGGGCAAGGGCTCATGTCAGCAAACACGGCTACATCACGTGACACGCCAGCGACACGGAAACACACGCCAACGCACACGGCTGCACAGCGGGCAGGGGGCGGGGTGGGGGGAGAAGGGAGCCGGGGGCCACCCATCATGTCCTCTGCGGGGCGGGCTTGGGGGACAGGGTGAATGCATAGAACACATCATGTACACACGCTCAAGGCGCGGCAAGAGCGTGCATCGACCCACAGGCACATGGGATGGACACGCAGTGTGCTTTGAGAGAGGCAGGGCTTGGGGGAAGGGGAAGCAGCGAGCCCCGGCCAGGCCCAGGACCACCCACGGGTCACTCGTGGGCTTGGTGGCTGTAGGCGCGTGGAGGGGGAGCAGCACACACTTGCCCGAGAACATGCATGAGACACCAGCCCCCAGACGACGTTCCAGGACCCATACAGACACAGCAGCCAACAAGCTGCCCTCACACGATGTGCGGGACTTGAAGAAGCTGGGGCCCAGCAGACCCTTGATGAACCTCCAGTCCAACTGCCCAGAGATGGGCAGCCATGGGCCCAATACCACTCCAGGAGGCCACAGCATCCCTCCAGACATGGCTCTGCCCTCCTGCTTGTGGCACCGAAGGCGGTGGGAATTCCGGAAACACCTGGGCTGCAAGGGTGTCCTGGCGCCGGAGGCAGGAAGGAAAAAGGGTGGGGGTGCTGGGGCCTGTTCTGATGTCCCCAGAGAAGCCTGAGATGGGAGGAGGGCTGTAATTAGATACTGGGGCAAACTTCCTGTCCTGCTGAAGGACACCCTTGGAAGGGACTGGCAGGCTCCCCTCCACAACAGAGCCCACCTTAGGGGCTGTTACATAGATGGGCCTCACACAGGGCTCGAACAGCTCAAGTAGGAATGGGGCCAGCCACGTGAGCTGGGGTGGGGCCGGAGGGGTACTGTGTTCTGGAAGGCCACATGTGCATAGTCTCCTTGTCTCTGTCTCTGACACACACACACACACACACACACACACATGCCTCACATGAAGGGGGACCCTGGGAAACAATGTGAACACACATGCCAGACTCCCTCACCCTGTCCATACACATGCCCAACCCTGGCGTGCACCCCGTGTGCGTTCAGTGCTGTACACGTGGGTCCTTTGCTCCTGCACCTCCCGCCTGCCACTAGCCTCGCAAACCCACCCGTGCCCAGTGCCTGTGCCCTGTACACAGCGAGGGAGGGGCTGGCCCTTTCCTCGCCCTCAGACCCCTGGGCCTGTGCCTCACTTCAGGGTGGCTGTGTCTCAGCCCAGGGAGTGGGCAGGGGCGGGGACCCCAACATCTAGCAGGAGAGGTGTCCAGGTCCAGGGGAGGGGTCCCGGGACTCGCCCCCCACCCCCACCGAGTGGAGGCCGCCACACTGGCCATTCCGGTCCCTGAGGCAGAGCCCGGAGCATCGACTGGGGTGGAGAAGACAAACGCTGGCCTCTCCCAGTTCTGAGGTAAATGTGTGGAAGGCAGTAGTGCCCTCACTTTCCGTCTGTCTGGGGCAGCCCTCATCGGTAACACTGCCCACGAAGAGGCCGGGGCGGGGGGCGCACTTGCACTCGCACACTCAGCCTGGGCACGGGGGAGCACACCAAGGTCTACCAGCTTTCCCAGATGAAGGCCTGCCTTCTGGCAGAGACACAGAGAAGGACGGGCATGCAGGCATGTGCGCACAGGGGCTTGGAGACCTGGCCGGGCAGGCCGCTCCAGTGGCACGGTGTTGGTGGAACGGTGTGTGGCCGCACCAGAGGGCGGTCAGCAGCTCCGGGGAGAGGGGGAGAGGGAGAGAGGGCAAACACGGCCGGCAAGACAATCCCGGACGGGGCGCCCGTCTCTGAAGAAGAACACGTGTGTGCGTCTAATACACTGGCGGGCAGAAACACACTATGTAGAAAGCCTCTCCGCACACACACACACACACACACACACACACACACACTCACACAGACGTATTCTACACAGCACAGAAATACAGATTTTGTGCCCACCCAACACGGGTGTCCCGCGCACAACACAGAGGGCTCTGTCTGAGGAGAACACCGATCAACACTTGAAGCACACCCTTCACACACACACACACACACACACACACACACACACACACATTACCTGCTGGGAGAAACGCACACATATACACAGGCCGGGCTGGGTTATGGATACGTGTGTGCTCCCACTCACCTTGATTAAGCTCCACAGGCTCACAACGTACATATGGGCACACACACGCACACACACACACACACACACACATACCCCTGTTCACAGAAGACAGAGCAGGGCTGCTGTGTTACACCTGGCCACAGTCCACACACAACAACCCAAGTGAAGGGGGAAAGCTCAGATGACACATAGACTGGGAGGGGGGCAGAAGGGGGATTTGGGGTTTCTACACACATGTACGCACGCACACACACACACGCTGGGGTGTCCACACGTCTTGAGCATGTTCTGGCGGCACGCATGTGGGTGTGCGTGTATAATCACGCCTGCTGCTGTCTACGTGCGGGGGTGGTCCGTGGCGGGTGCGGGGGGAGGTCCGGGGACTCTGGGGTCTGACAGGAAGTGGGGAAGGGGGGCTGCCTGGGTCTGTCTTCGGGGTGAGCCTGGAGCAGGGGATGGAGTGAAAGGGGTGGTGGGGGTATTGCTCCCAATGTGGTGGGGGAAGGGTCTGGGAGAGACAGGGGTGGGGGGGCCTACAAGCCCAGCGTCCCCCCAATGGATGACGCCAAGACCACCCCCAGCACCACACAGCAAATGATGATCATGATTTTCTTCTGCAGGCAGAAAGGTTGACAGAGAGGAAGGACGAGAGAGAGACAGAGAGATAAAGAGAGACAGACAGATGGGGGGGAGAAGGGGGAGGAGGTGTGAGGAAAAGAGGAGGGGAGAGAAAACAGAAAAAGGAAGAGGTCAGAGCCAGAGATAAGGCCTCCCTCTGGATTTCAACACTCACCTCAGCCCTGGCCTGAACCTACCGAAGCCCTCCTCCGCTCCAGCCCACCTGCCCTTGCTGCCCCCACTCCTCTCCCCCTCCCCAAGGCCCGCCCATCTCTCCCCCTACCCGCTTACCCTCCGGGCCTTGCTCTGGTATTTCACAGCTTTCTTGGTGTCGGACACAGCTCGCTCCACATAGTCCACGGAATGTTCCACGTTGTACTCAATGCGGTCAATCATCTCACCCTGCAGAGGATGGGGTGGGGACTGGGCTGAAGGGGGGGGGCACCCCAGGGACCTGAAGGAGGGTCCCAGAAGGCGGGGGAAAGGTAATACCTGGCTTTCCACAAGCATGGCCATGTCCACAAACATGTCATGCAGCTCTCGGATGCTGGTTTCCAGTTTGATGATCTCGTTGTGCCTCGTCTCGATCTCATTCAGTGCCTGCTTCGTCATCTGTGAGTCCATTTTGATCTAGGGCGATAAGGTGGGGGGGCGGGAGGGGAGGAGCTGCAGACCCCTCTTCACTCTGGTAAGTGTGGGTTCTGCAGCCAGAGTGTCTGGGTTCAAATCTGACTGTCATTTCCTTGCTCTAACTGTGGGCCAGTTGTTTAACCTTTCCGGGCCTCAGTTTCCACACTTAGAAAAGGTGGATGAGAGCAGTGCCCACCTCCCACCGTGCTTTGAGTTACTGTATATCCACCAATTAGAACGGCACCTGCTGGGCACACAGTAAGCACCAAAGAGAAGTCTGAGTTACAAGAAATAAAAGTTGGCTTGAACCCACCACCTCCCCAGGGCTTCCTCTAATACACACACACACACAGACACACACACCAGGGAAGAGCAATAGGGTTGCAGAGTCACCACTAGCATTGGGGGCCCCTGTCTGGTCAAAGGCAGAGGACACAGCAGAGAAAGCAAGTAGAAGCAGAGAAGGCCCAGCAGAGAAGGCACCGTGCCTGCTCTGGAGCCCCCAAGACATTAGGGAGGGCAGAAATAAAGAATTGCACTGCAGCCCTCAAGAGTCAGGGGGAGAGAAATTAACTCCCATCCACAAGCAGGGATTCCCTCTCCCCCCACACACCTGGCCTGAGCCAGGCCACTCGCTTCCCCAACTGCTTACTGTTCAGACCCCATCAAGCCATTCCCCTGCTCTGAAACCCTCCAGGGTTCCCCACAATTCCTCCCTGCCCCCCACCCACAGTCTGTATACCTTCACCCTATCCAGGGCTCAGTCTCCCTCTCTGTCCTCATCTCCTCCATCTCCTCTAACAGCCAAAATCATCCAATGGCTGTTTGGCAAGTGGTCCACTCTCCCCATCTTCGTTCAATCTGCTCCCCTTCTCTAGTGGGCTTTTCGCCCACCTCACCACGTCCAAACGTTCCTTGTTTCTTAAAGCACAGCTCCATGCCACTTCCCCCAGGAAGCCTTCCCTGACTCTAGGAGTTAACTGCTACCTTAGGGCCTGTCTGCGGGTTGCACATCCCTCAGGCAAGATCCCCAAGCACCATGCATTGTAATGACGGGTTTCCGTTGCAGTGACGGTGGGTTCACTGGCGGGGATCAGTTCTGTCCTCTTAGAACCCACCAGGCTCCCCTCTGTTCTCACGCGGAAGCCTGGGCAGAGCTGTTTGTGAGGACTCCAGGCGGCTACCTGGCCCTAATCAATTTGCTCCAAAGCTAATTTAATCAAGATCAGTTCTCTAAATAACAATTTGCTGAAAACTGCTAGACAGTCACTGAACAGACTGGAGTTCTGGTCTAGAAATCTTAACCAGAGCCGTTCTGCCATCAGAAGCAGAGACAGAACTGGGCAGGCCAAGGCAAAATCTACAAAGAGAAAGGAGAACTACAGTGGGGGAAGCCCATCCACTCACATTTAAGAGGACAAAGGCAGGGCAGGACGTAAAACTTTAGCAAAACTAAAACTGGTATTTTTTTCAAAATTTCATAATGTAGGCACATTACTCATTTGGTGAAATGCCCCGCTTCGGCAGGGAGTAGCGTATCTTCTCAGGACGTCAAAGCCCTAACTGGCAGGAAGGAGACCGTGTATCTGAATCCTGGCTCCAGGGCCCTCCGGTTAATCTCCGCATCAGATGTCCTCACTGGTGAAATCTGGCTCCCTCAGAGGGTGGTGGTGAGGACCAGATGAGACAGCAGGTACATGTGAATATGTAAGGTGCTCAGAACGGTGTGTGGCTACTCAACACATTGCCCATTTTTATGGGGGCGCCTTCCTGCCCTGCTCCCATGGAAACCCCAGCTCCAGGTCCTGGCTTTCTGCTGTCTGTGATCCCAGGGTGGACTTAGGACCTTAACTCAACCTCAGCTCGGGGAGGGAGAAGTAAATGTTTTCCAAAGCCGGACCCACCCCCACCCGGGGCTCACATCATCGGTGAAGATGGCCAACTTCCCGCTCTCCAGCATGTCTTCCAGTTCCTCGTTCGTGGTGGTCCTTCCAGCTGTGGGGAGAAAGGCCTCCCTGCTCATGGACTGGGCCAGTCTGGGGGCCTGAGGTGGTGGGATAGGGCAGAGACCCAGGAGCCCACCCTCCCCACCAGCCTTCAGCCTCCACACAAGGCCTGGGGAAGCCACGGAAGAGGGCTGGGGCAAGCCGGGGAACTCTGAAGCGGGGCACACGCACTGATCTCCAGCTGCCGCTGGATCCGGTCCTTGCAGCGGTCCCGGTACTTGGACTGGGTCGCGTTATATTCGGTCATTACTTCCACGAACTTCCGGGAGAGTGTGGAGTGCTAGGGTAGGGGTACAGACACATCAGGAGGCCGGGACAGGGTGGCGAGGAGGCCAGTGGAGGGATGCAGCGGGGAGGAGCTGAGCTGGCCTGTCGCCCTTCTTTAGCTCGCGCCACGATCCCAACCCCAGATAAGTGCTCAGTCCCAGGACGCCGCCCCCCACCCCCGCCGCCAGGCCCCTCATCCAACGCCCTAGCCTGCAGTGGCCCGGCTGCGCCCCCGCCCCACTCCACTGTGGCCGCCCACTCTCATTTCCCGGCTCCAACCAGGGCTCCCTTCCCAGTCCTGTCCAGTCCAGTCCAGTCCGGCCCAGCCCCCGCCTCTCCAGGCCGCAGCCTCCTACCTGGGTCTTGCGGATGCGCAGGTCCGCCGAGGAACGGTTCAGCCCCTCCTCTTGTTCAATGCTTTGTTCGATTGCTGCAGGAGAGAGGGTACAGTGACCGGCCCGGGGACCCGGGACATGTGGGGCAGGGATCTGGGACGTAGGAAGGGTTGACATCCCGAGGCAGGCCCCGGGCCTGTGAAGAGATGTCACCCCCATGGCGAGGGCAGACAGTAAAGGATCCAGGGTGCGGGGACAGGAGGTAGATGAATAGAGGACACACAGATCGGTGGGTCTGGAAGGCAGGTAGGAAGGAAGATTGAGGGTCACAGGGTCACCAGACAGAAAGGGGCTACTTGTTCTGGCGGAAGGGTTGGGTCTTGAAGGGTCCCACAGCTGTAACTCCTGCTTGACCCCACGAGGGTCTCCAGTAGGTGGGGAGCTCTCCACTTCCTACAGCCTCTGGAAAGAGGGCAGGAACCCGTCCTGCGGTTTTTCTGGCGGAAGGCTGGCACTTCAGGTGGGTCAGGTTCTAGTGGCCGCCTTTTTCTTGGAAAATTCTAGGGGGAAGGAGGGATATTCCGACAGAAAAGAGCTCTCCCCCAGCCCTGCAAAGTGATCTCTGTTTCTGGAATTCCCACTTCTAAAGACTGTTCTGGAAAAGCACACAGATTAACTGGGAGTCCTGCTTCTGGATCAGGCTCTCCTGACATCCATCCTTCAGATTTTCTAAAAAAGAGGTTGCCTGTGATAAGATCTACAGTGCTCTGAAAATGCAGCAGAGATGGATCACCAGGCCCTCCAGACCTGGAAGGGCCTCCAGGCCATTCCTGAGAACATCACTCCTCTGTTCTGCTGGCAGCAGGAAAGGTTGGGGGCTAAACAGCACCCCAGTGCTCTCCTGCCACCAATGGCGGGCACAGGGACTGAGTGACACTTCTGGCCTGCCTGCTTCGGAAAAGGCACAGGAACGCCAGGCACAGCCAGGGAGGTCGGAACCTCTGGCCCCTACGGGGACTCTGTTGTCAGACTTGGGTCTGGGGCCAAACTCCATAGTGAAGGGTCGTTCAGAGGATCTCACTGACTTCTTACAACAATCCTGAGTTCAGTGATAATCCGCCCATGGGTCACGCTAGAACCTGCGGTTCAGCCAGCTAAAGCGACTCACTTATGGTCACACACAAAGCCCGAGCTCATGCCACCAAGTAGCTGGAGGAAGATGGAGGAGAAGAGAATCTTTTTCTGGGGGTCTGGAAGGTCAGCTTCTCTACGTCACTGCTACATTTCCTAGCTCTTTCTTGGTGTGTTTCTGGACTCACACATAATCCACGGAGCCTACCTCGTGGTCTTATAGAGAGTGTTAAGGTCAGAGCTCGGTGGGCCCAAAGAAATCTTTACGCCCAGGGGTTTTTAAGCAGCGTTCTAGAGAACCCTGCTTCGGAGAAAGAACCTCAGCAGCCATTGCTGGAGGAAAGGGGAGACCAGGTAGGTAGGGCACTGCGCCTCTCAACCCCAGTGCAGCAAGAACAGCCTATCTTTTCTGTATTGTATATATTGGAGTTCTTTGTAAGATTTCATTAAGAAAAAAAAAAAAAAAAGTGCTACCCCCTGGAAGAAAAGCCTGCTTTGGAATTGCTTCTGTTTTTCTTACTGAGCCAGTGAGGAAGCCGAGGGGAGGAATGAGTTGATGATGGAAGTTGTCCAGAACTGAGTTGATGATGGAAGTTGAACTCCCTCTGCCTGGCTTTGTACTTAATGTGCTCCCAGTTTAAGTCATTTTCCTTTCCAAGATGCAAGTGTAAAAGGGTTATTTTTACTGATCAGCATTGGAGGCTCATACATGACCTCCCACTGAGTGCGGGAACACATGGAGTCCCTGTTCTCCTCTCTCTGGACCCAGGTAGGTGTGTTCAAGGCCAGGCACCTGACCTGGCACCTGTTCCCCAATGCCCTGCCCTGTGCCTCGGACAAAGTAGGTGGCTGGCAAATGTTTTCTGAGGCTGAATTTACCCCATCACGGTAACACTGCTATTCCCCTGGCACGGACAGACAAGGAGGTTCCCAACCCACAATGCTTTGGGGGAAGGTGGTTATTACCAGCACCCAAGTCCTTAAATTAGAGTGAATACATAAGCATTTGGCAGGTCCCTCCTGAAAGCTTGCCAGCTCCTGATGTCAGCCACACAATCCAATCTGTCCTGAGCCGAGGATACCAGTTCAGAAGCATTTGCTGGGCCCACCTACTGGGTGCTTAGCGCTATGCGCGGCACCTGTTCTGGAGAAAGAAGGATTTAATGAAACCGAAGCCACTTGGAAGCCTCTCTTTTCTGGTGGACCTTCACGCTGGTGGATCCAGCCATGCTCAGATGCACCTTGGACAGAAACCCTCCTCTCCCTCATTTCTTTGTCATGTATCTTTCTCCAAAGATCTGGATCTGGGGTTTTGTGCTTTCTCACTGTTTAGGAAGCTGGGTCCTGGAAACCTGTAGGCACTCCTTATAGAAAGGCATGTTTGGTCCCATGAGGGCAGAGTTGTTTTTCCCCTGAGTCTGGGGATTGCATTCCTCACCTTTCAACTTGGAGCGAACCTTGTTGGCCGTCTTCTTGATGTCTGCGGTGAGGTCCTCCAGCTCCTGTTTGGTCTCTGAGGGGAGAGCCAGAGTGGGTAAGAAGTCTGGAGGGGAGCCCACCCCCCACCTCCTCCCCCTTCAACACTGTCCACCCCCATCCCGCTGACGGCCACCCAGCAGCAGTACTCACTCTCATCTGGATTGGGGGCGGCCAGGATGGCACTGTGCTGTTTTTTCACTTGCTCCACATCCTCTGACAGTTTCTCAATGCAGCCCCGGATCTCTTCCACCTGGGGTACCAGATCAGCTGTGCCCAGCCAAGTCGCTGAGCCAGGCAAGGGGCCCTGGGGCTTAGATGGGGTTTGGGTAATCCAGAGTCGAGGGACAGGTAAAAAGGCCAAGAGGGTGTAGGAGTGGAGAGCAGGGGTGGGAACAGGGCAAGGGAAGTCATTGCCTGGGGGCCAGCTTCTGGGTCTGGAGCATCAGACGCTCAGTTACCTGTTCAAAGAACTCGTCCATGAAGTGGTCGCGATCCACGTGGACCACCTCCTCTTCATCATCACTGTCTTTAGCCTGGGAGGCAAAGAAAGGTAGAATTCATGAACAGTCCCTATCCTGAGTCTGATGCTCCCAGCTCTAGGTTCAGAGCAGAGGCCTGGGAAGGGGTCATCTGCAGGGGGAGCAGGTCATCCGCAGGTCAAATGCAAGAGCCCCAAGCGGTCCAAATGAACATTGGAAAAATTGTGGAACAGGGTCCGGGAAGCCAGGTAGCTGATAGCCCAAGGGACACCTTGGAGGGAATTAGCAGAAGGCACTCTTTCAAGGGTGGATGTGACCCCAAGAATGCAGTCACCCTGGGGGGGGCGATGACACCCAGGACAGCTGCCACTAACCGGTATCATAGCTACCAGCTAAATGTCAGCCTTGCAGGAATTGGCTCTGAGCTCCGGGAAGGGGTCTGGAATGGAAGCCTCTGGAGGCTGACTCTAGCCGCTATCTCCCCAGCCACTCCTGTCCAGGCCTCACTTTGCTCCCCTTCTCTTCCCCCTCCAGCCTCCACCAGACTGGCCTCGTCCCCTGTGCAAGGTCACTTCACTGCCAGCTGCGGGTACCAAGTTGAGCGAGCATAGTCAAGCCCAGGAAGGGCTGGAGGAGACCCCTGGGCAGCACCGCAAGCCCCCACCCGCACCCCTGCTCCCCGCGCCTGCCCCCTCCCGCTTGCTCTCACCCTCTCCACGGCTCTGCCCCTCTGGCGTATTCACTTGCTTTCATCTAGCCTCTCCCCACTTCACACCCACCTACTCTCACTTGCCTGGATTTCCCAGTTGCAACCTGCAGCTGCTCAGCCCTCCACCCCCAAGGCTCAGAGACACAAAGGGATTCACCCACCCACACCGCCCCCGCCCCCGCCACCGCCAGACAGACCAGTGACACAGACAGAAGGGCTGACACACAAGGCACACAGAAATAGGCCCCCGGACACCCACGCGGAGATACACTGACACGCTGATGTTCACCCACACGCGGCCCCACGGCAAAGCTGCCTGCTGCCACGCGTGGCCACACAGACGTGCACCCGCAGCCCCAGGGACGTCTGAGAGCACCCTGCAGGCCTCATCTCCCAGGCTCTCCCAGCCTCAGGCCTGCACACTCATGCGGAGCCAGGAAAGAAGACAGGGACGGACCGGCCTCCCCAGTGCTCCGCGCTCCTGACTGGAGACTCTTCTCCGCTTGGGGCAGAAGTCTGAGGACAAAAAGCTGAGCCCGTCAAGCTTAATTACACGCGGAGCCCTAATCAGCCCCAGTGGAAATTTAAACAGACTGGCTTCCGGAAACAACCTAGCCCAAACGGGACAGAATCGGACTACCCGAGCCTGAATGACATCAAGACCGGATCCGAAGGTGTCCACCTGGAGCACAGCCAGTTGGGATCCAGAGAGAGGAGCTCCCGTGGATCCCCGACAGGGTCCAAGCAGATCGCAGACAGGACCTGACGGAAACCAGACAAGCTCAGACCCAACTAGACTCAGGGCAGACAGATCCCAGACAGCTCAGATCGAACCTAGACAGAGCCAGATGGGCCCGAGATGCAATCTAGGCAGCCAAGTGAACTCGGAATCAGCAGAGCCCCGACAGCCCTGGGAGGAGCCTGCGAGCCGGGGGAGCCCTCCAGCTGCACGCTCTCGATGCCCCCCTCCCCAGGTTCCTACCCAAACAGAATGCAAGGGATTCTCCCTACAGACACTGGGCCCCACCCCACGTCAGAAAATGTATTCAGCACTTCCAGTGAGTTTCCAGACGATCCCAAACATCCACTGGGAAAGGGAGGCTCCTCTGTCTCTGTGCACAGCTGCCTTCGGAAGGAGAGGGGCACAGGTGGGGCTTGGGTACTCGGAGAGGACTTCTGGCTTCTCAGGTCTCCACCAGATCTGGGGTTACTCCGATAGACCTTGCCCCTGAGAGGCTCTGGGAGGCTCAGCTGCTCTTGGAGGACGGACCAGCTTCCCCTGATGCCCTGCCCTCAAAACCAGCTGTCCCACGGGGTCTCCTTCCCCTAGAGCCAAAACCACTCCTCCGTCCTTTCTCTGACTTGGGCCCCTTCCCAGCTGCCCAGAGGTCATGGGGCATCCCTCTGGCCTGGGAACTTTCCTGTTCTCCACCTTTTCCCCAGGCTGACTTTCGACCTTCTAAAGTCTGATTTCCCTTTCTCTCTCCGGTTTGTCCCCAGAGCCAAGTTCCCCTCGATTCTGCCCTGGGGCATCCCTGGTTGCCTGTTTACTTGTCCTTGAGAGAGGAAGAGATGTAGAGACCCAAGGATGACTTATTTGGTATAATAATTACAGGGAGCTAAGAGCTAATAATCCTCTACATTTCACAAACACTTTTACATCTATAATCCCTTTTGATCCTGACCACACGGGCCTGAAAGGAAGGCTGAGCAAATATCATTGTCTCCATTTTACAGATGAAGGAACGGGGAGGTTGGGTGCGGGGGAGGGAAGTGACCCATCCAAGGGCGCCTGGGCTGAATGGGCTGGCAATCATAAGCATCTAAGACAGACTCCCCCCTAGCCCTTCGAAGGCTCGAGGCCAGGCCACCTCCTTCCAGGGCCTCTGCCACTAGCTGTTTTCCCTCTCAGCTCAGCTCCTGCTAAGGCCCAGTCTGGTGGGGCTCTGTGCCCTGAAATCCTGGGGAAATACTATCTTTTAACAGCATCTTCTACCTGGGCTTTACATCCTTGTTTATCTCATTAACTCTTTCTTTAAACCCTATCAGGGCCCCTGGACAGCATAATTATAATTAATGCCAAACATTTACATAGCATGTGATAACGAGCTGGGCACGGTTCTACGCCCTTGGGATATTTGTCCATTTAATTCTTACAAAAGCCTTTCTGGAGGTCGGTATTATTATAGCTCCCTTTTATAGACAGGGAAACTGAGGCACAGAGAGGCTAAAGAACTTGCCCAGGCTAGCAGCTACAAGGCCACACGATTTCTGCCTTCTGGGCTTCAGCCTCTGCCTTAGCTGAACAGCAAGAATATCATCTGCCCCAAATGCTAGGCAGGTGGAGGCAATGAGTCCAGGCAGGAAAAATGCCTAATGTTGCCAGAAAGACGCAGTGTTTCGTGAGGGTTGGCTGGTACCCCCTGCAGCTCCTGTGTTACAGATACGGAAGCAGGCTCAGAGAGGTTGCCTGACCTTCCAAAGGCTTCACAGCAAAACAGCCCAGAGGTGGGACCTGAACTCCAAGTGCTTAATCCCAGGCTTCCCTGGACCCCACTCCACCCCATCCTGCTCTGCTTGTCCCCAGCACTGCTGAACTCCTGTGGCCAGGAGAAAAATCCAGGAAGGCCGGCCAGGCTGCAGGAAGAGCCCAGGTAGGAAGCCAGGCGCTCTACCTCCCCTCGCCCTCCTCTGTGATCCGAGGCAAACCTCAGCCCTTCTCTGCACCCCAGTCGGTCTGTGGAATGGGCAGGCTGGTGCACCAAGGGCCTCCCTGCTCTGAGGGGTGCGCGTTTAATAACGACTGCGGCCTCCATTTCCAGAAGGAGCTGGCCGGCCTGAGGGAACGCAGGCTGTGGGCAAATGAGATCACCCAGGAAGAGATGATCACATGCGCCCGATCCGCTTGAGGGACAACTCAAGCCTCAGTTTCCTCATGTCCGAAATGAAGGAGATAAGAAATCTAACATGTATGTACTAGTTATGGTGAGCTGGGCCCTGTGATACATGTTTTGTTCATTTCGTTTAACCCTCATAAGCACTCCATGAAGCAGATACTATTCTTATACCCATCTGACAGAGGAGGAAACTGAGGCATGGAGCGATTAAGTGACTCGCTCAAGATGATACAGCAGGCACCGTCAGGGGCACCAGGTTTGAACCCAGGCCCTCTGCCCTTCCTGCTCACCAGCTCTACCAGTGCTTAAGAGCATTCCATGAGGGACTGCAGAGGTCCTGGGTGCCCTGTGGCTCCGCCTTGGGCATCGGGGGCATCAGATCCAAGCCTCCAGCTGCAGTCTTTCCCATCAGAGAGACCAGCGGCCCTTGGGCACACCCGTGCGGGGTGACAACAGAGACAGATGTGTGGATGGAAGGAGAGGGACACAGTGAGCCAGCAAGTCAGGGACCAGAGACAGATGGTGAGAAGGTGACTAACACAGAGGCGGAAAGAGCCCGGTGTTGGGTGACAGCAAAGTCATAGAGCGCGCGCGCGTGTGTGTAAACACACATGCGTACCCATGCACACAGCACACACGTGCTCACGCGGGGTGCAAGCATGGCTCGATCTAGAGGCAGCTGTCCCTCTCCGCCGCACCCCCACTCCTGTCCATCTGTCTCCCTGACTGGGCCTTTCCGCCCTCCCAGCGCCCAGCCTGGCCCTCCCACCCCCACCTTGCCACTTGGCCCTCCCTCCTTCCCCACCTCTACTCCCCTCCGAGTCCTCCCTCTGCCCCACTGAGTCATTCATTCACCTAGCAGACATGTATGAGCTGAGCCACGTTCCCTGGCTGCTGCTGAGAACACAGTGGTGGATAAGACAGGAAGAAGGTCCTGCCTCGGAGAGATCGAGGGTGATGAAGAATGAACAAGACGGGTTCAGTCTGTGCTAGCTAGCAGGGGCTATCAGGGGTGGCTTTTTTCAGGATGACACAGAATTTTAGGCGGAGGGAACAGCAGTCCACGTGGAGGGAAGAGCACTCAAAACAGAGAGACCAGCAGAGGGAACAGCAAGTGCCAAGGCCCTGAGGCAGGGGTGAATTTGGTATGTCTGCATGGCAGAAAGGAGCCCTGTGCAGCTGGGGGATTGGCAGCCCATCACCAGGGCTCTGCTGGGCCCTGCTCACTCATGGGGTCACTCTTGCCTGCTGTCATTCAGGCGTGCCATCTAAGGCCCTCTCTGTGCCTAGCCCATATCTGAGTGCTACCCAGATGACTCAGTCCCTGCCTTCAGGGTGCGTGGCTTGTCCCATCACAGCCCCCACGCCCACCGGGCCTCAGATTTGAGCCTCCCTCATTGCGGGCCTTGCCAGATCTCTCCAAAGTCCAAAGGCAACACCCCCGCCCCCATGCTTCTCTCTCTCCCCAGTCCTCCCCTCTACCCCACTTACTCCTCTTTCTCTCCTGTTGAGCCCCATCCCTGGCCCCACCCCTTGGACTCTGGAGCACCCGTCAGGCTGACGAGCTCCCCTCCAGCCCAGCAGCTCCCAGCTCGCACCCAGAGGTGCCTGGTGAATTTAGAAAACAGAAAACCCTGGTTCGGCACCAGCTCTGCTTACCATCTGTTTGACCTCGGTCAGGCTGCCTCTCTGGCCCTTTCTACTCCAAAATAAATTAGGGGTCACATCCCGCCCATCCCAGGGGGCTGATGTGATAAGGTTCAAGGGAAATAAGCAAGTCAGCTGTAGAATAACAAACACTCACAGAGCACTGGGTGCCCAGGGCCCTTCTAGGCACCTTTTGCCTATTACCTAGTTCCAATCCTTTGGACAACCCAGCGAACAGGTACAATTGTTACTCCCAATTCACATGTGAAGAAACTGAGGACCAGAGAGGTTAAGAAACTTACCCAAGGTCACACAGGAAGTAGCAAAGCTAGGATTTGAACCCAGACAGTCTGACTCCCAACTCTGTGCCCTCACCCGCTATGTGATAAACAGATTTGAGAACCCCTGGGGAACGCTAAGTCCTGCTGGAAAGATGATCAGGTCCCTTGAGGTGACACCCCCCTCCAGCCCCCACCATCCCTCTCAGAATCACAGAGACTGCTTTAGCAGGCCTCTTTCCTACCCTGCCCAGTCTCTCCTGCCTCCCAGTCTCCTCACTCTCAACTCTAGTGGGGAGACCCTGGCACTCCTTGCATCTGGCAGCTTCTTTCCGCCCTACCCACCAGCCCCCTCCCAAATCTCCAGTCTCTCTGAGCTGTGACTAACACCAGAGCCATTTGCCCCAGCCCCCTTTACCCCCCCATGCCACCTCCCACCTCCCCACCTGGCTGCCCACCCCTGCAGCCCCAGCAGCCAGAACTCCTAGCTTCTGGGCAGGGGCCTATCTGATCCACTTGGATGAGGATGCCATGCTCTGCCTCCCCCTCCCTCCGTGTCTTAGGACTTTCCCTCCGTCTCTCTGATTAGACCTCAAATTTGCCAGCACCTCACCTCAACAACCGCTTTCCATTTCTCTGGGTTTTGGAGTCATGGAATAGTGTTGGCGGCAGGGGATCTGGGTTCCAATCTATGTTCCTCACTTGAGAGCTGTGTGACCTTGGGCCAGTTATTTAACCACTCTGGGCCTCAGTTTCCTCAGCTATAACATGAGGTAGTCTCTCAATCTACATACCTCACCAGGAGGTCAGCGAGGTTCTCATGAGATTATGGATGGCAAACTGCTTTGGAAAATGCAATGTGAAAGAAGGGGAGCTCGGAGCGCTAATGTGGGAGCCAGCCCGCCTGCCTGCCTTTTCTATGTGACTCTGGCTATGTGACTCTGATCAAGTTACTTAACCTCTCTGGGCCTCAATTTCCTTACCCATAAAATGGGACCAAACTAGTACCAGGGTTGTGGCGGAGACCAAAATGAGTAAACATGAATAAAACGCTTAGTACAATTTCTGGCACTAGAAGGTTGATTATTTTTATTACTGTCCTTTAGTGGATGCCCGGCCCCATATTCAGTGGAAGTCGAATACAGAAACCTTCAAAATTCCCTCTTTCAACCACCAGTTTCTCCTTCCTTCCGATTTGCCAACACATCTTTCCCCGGAGACAGCAACAGTCATTTTATTTTCCAGCCCCTTCCTCCTAGCTTTCTGTAGCCTGGTTTCCCACATCCCTATCCTGGGGGCTCCCCAAAACAGAGCTTTTTAACCCCCGTGTGGAGACTTCTGTTTCAAAGATCAAAAAAGCAGAGACTCATGTCAACTTGCCAGACTGAAACCCAAATTCCCATCTGATCCTCCCACCCACTTGCATGGTGACCTTGGGCGAGCTCTTGCTATCTCTGAACCTCAGCTTCCTCATCTGTCAAATGGGGTAGTAACCCGGGGAAAGGAAACAACCAACAGGGTCCCCCTGGTAGAGACCCAGGGCGTCAGGATGCATCATGGCTCTGGCTAGTACTTTCTGAACATAACACCACAGGCCCCCAGCACACAGCAGGCTGTCAGCTTTGCCTTCTCGGACCCCGGGTCATTTCTACGAACCCCCCAACATTCTCCCTACCCTAGAAACCGGTCTCATCAAGCCTCTCCAAGTGGCAGCCTCCACTGTGGGCATCAGCGCCACCCTCCTCCCCTGTCACCCAAACTGCCTGGCCAGACTCCTGAAGCTGGGCCTCTTCAAGGCCTGCAAACCAGGGGCCCACACCAACCAGCCCCTGCCTGTTCAGGATGCCCCAGTTCCACCCAGCAGAGCACGGTCCGTGTCACACAACCCAATTCCATGGCCCTGTGCACAGAGCCTCCTCCCCCTCTCTCCTCTGCAACCCATCTCCCACCTCTGGGGTCACCCCATCCCCAGCCCTGGCCCTCTGGCTGTCTCCTGAGGCCACCCCTTCCCTCCTCATCTCTGAGAGGTGCCCCCTCCCCACAGGGAGCAACACTCGCGTGTGCACACACACACATATACACTTCAGTCACTGCCAGGTGTTGGCATCTCTGTCCCAACCTGTGTCCTTCCCCATAGCACTCCCCGAATCTTGGTCCCGCTAGACTCAGCCTGGCCCAGTAACCACCCCCATCTTTCTAATTCCGCAAATCTGCCCAAGGGAGGACAGTACCCTCCAATTCTCTCCTGACATTCACTCTCTCCCATCCCGGATTAGACCCCCAGGCCCTCCTGGGAACGTGGGTAGCTAAAGCCCCTGGAACCTCTCCTGCCCCCTTGAGTCTTAATGGCCTCCAACCTCTTCCAGCCACCGTCCCCAAAATGCAGGTTCATTGGAGACATCAGGTGCCTCCAGATACTGGGGTGCCCCTACCACCAACCTCCTCCTGTCCCGTCGTTTGCCCCCATGTCCCAGCACCTCCCCCACTCCACCCCCACGCGCTCCCCCAATATTGGGGTCCCGCCCCCCCATTTTCCCCACCCCCAAGCTCACACTCCGCAGCTCCTGAGTCCGATCCTTCATCCTGCGACGGCTCCTCCTCCTCCTCCTCCTCGTCCTCCTCCTGCCTCTGCTGCTGCTCCCTGCCTCCTGCCTCGGGGCTGGAGGCTGGAGTCTGGGGGCGCCGGGGGGGCACCCGAGCCGCTGGGGGGGCCCGCGGGCGGGGGCGGGGCCGGGGGCGACGGGCCGAGGGCCGGGCAGGGGCAGGGGCCTGGGCCGGGCTCGGCTCTGCCGGGGCTGCGGTGGCGATGCGGCTGCGGCACAGGCTCGGATGGAGGGATGCGGGAGCCGAAGCGCGGGGGAGGGGGGCGGAGGGAGGTAAGGAGGAAGGGAGGGAGGGGGGAACCGGGAGGGGGCGGAGAGCAGGGGGCATGCGCAGCGCCCGGGGCTGGGGGCGCCTGGGGGTTGTAGTCCGGGGGAGGGGGACCAAGGGGGAGGGGGAGTAAAGAGGCCTAGAGGCAGGTGGGGAAGGGCAGAGCCAGAGAAGTGGGGAGAGATTTCGCGGAGAGACAGAGGAGATGCGGCGGGAGGCAGGGAGCTGTTTGCTGGGTTGGGGGGGGCGGGGGGGGGGGGGGGGGGGGGGGCACGGCAGAAAAGAGGTAAGGGGAGTGATTTCAGGGAATAACCCAGGGAGGGGTGCAGTGGATCCCTTTACAGCAGGAGATATAGGTAGACTTTATGTTTGGTGTCTGCGAGTTATCTGTGTGAGCCCGGCTCGACCACCTCTGTGTGTTATCCCTGCAGGAGGTTCTTTAGACACTAGAAATAGCAAAAGTGACCCTCTAGGTGGCTTTTGTGATGCAAGGAATCAGCCAAGCCTGAGAAGGGCAGGGACTTGTTTGTTTTGGGGTTTATTTTGCACAGCCTTCCTTACTCTATCTGTGCCCACCTCTGGGCAGCAGTGGGTCTCAGAGGTCTGCTTGTCTACCTCTGGGAACAGGGGGCTCACTACCTTTCCTGACCTCTTGGCCTATCTTCACATGGCTCTGACTGTTGAAAAGGAAATTCGTCCTTATTGGGAGGGGAATGCTGGTACCCCGGCAGATGCAAGTACCCTCCGTCCTTCTCCTTGATCCCCACCTCTCTTCTCCCCATAGCCATATTCTAACATCACATCAACAACTCCACCCCTGCAGTGGGCTTTGGCCCCTTGACAGGCCTTGAACCAGCTTCTACCAATTTACCCCAAGACCTTCTTGATGCCAAATCCATCGGCCACTGGTCAGGCCTTACCCTTCATGATCTTTCGGTGACATATGACCCTGATGACCTCTCTCTTTTTGAAACCCTCCCCTCCTTGACTCTCAGCCTGCCTCCAGCCTCCCTTCCCCCATCTCCACCCCCAGTTTCTGAATGTTGTTTTCCAGCCTCCTTCCAGATCCATCCTTTCTCCCACAACCCCTCTATATCAGGGTTCCCTGGGCCCCACCCTGGGTTCTCCTCTCTTCTTTCTTTACCCTCTCACTTTCCAGGGCCGACTGCACCTACTTGCCCACAGTACCCACATCTGTGGCTCCAAGACAGACCCTCCTCCTCAAAGACAGCCCCTGCTCTGAGCACTGAGAACAGAGAGGCGAAAGATATCATCAGAGATTCGAGGAAGTCCGTAACTGCAGTGAGTGAGGCCAGAGCTTTGATGGAACCTCCAAGACTGTGGCGGCCTTGCCTCCTCCTCCCAAAGCGCTCCTTCCTGTGTTCTCCATCAGAGGTGGCATCTCCATCAGCCAGTCACCGAGAGCAGATAGAAGACTGACCTTGGCTCCCTCCCCAATCCCCATAATGCTGCCATGTTCTGAGCGCACCCCCCCCCCACCTGGGTTTCATGCAGAGTAGGTCCTAGAATCTTCCCAATCACATAGCTGCTACTGCCATTATCCCAAGTGCACAGATCAGGAAACTGAAGCTCGGAATGCTGAAATGATGGCCCTAAGTTCACAAGGTTAGTAAAGGACAGGGCTGGGGCTCTCACAGGCATCCTGTGATTACAAAGCCTATTCTTGTAAAACCACAGTGTTGTACCTCCTCCCTCAGCTGTCAGATCTAGAGCTGTCTCCTGGGTCCTCTCCCTTCTCACCACCTTGGCTCAGTCTAAGCCCTCGTTGGCTTTCACCCGCAGCATCACAACAGTCCCCTCTCTGGTCCTCCCAACAGCAGCCCCTTCCCTGTGTGTCTAGTTTTCTCCACAGGTGTTTGTGCCAAGTGTGACTGTGCTCTAAACAAATGGGGTCCTATCAGTCCCCTGCACCACCGACTCTACCCCCCACTCTACCTGCCATGACTCCCCAGATTGCAATCGGTAGCTGCTCTGGCCTTTGAATCCCACCACCCTCACCTCATCTCTCCTACCACTTCCCCTCCTTGGGCTGCAGACCCCCAGCCTTAACCACACCACGGGATCCCGGACCCCGGACACCCCATACCCTTTCACTGTGCCATCTCTCCTCTGCCCAGTACTCTGTCTTGCCCCTTCTCGGATAGTCAGACTTCCCATCCTTCAAGCCTTTCCCAGCAGTCTAGGCAAACAGCCTCATGAGGTGTGGGCTGAGTCAGCTTCTCCACTAGACCAGACTGGGCCTGACTCATGTCTGCTTCCCTCGCTTCCCTCCAGCAACCAAGGTCAGGTGCAAAGCAGATGTTCACTAAAAATCTCAATGAACAAATGAATGAATGAATGCATGGTCTATTCTTTCACACCCTTACCCAGGCATAAGGATAAAGGAAATAAGGCCCACGAAGGTGGGGACCTTTGTGTGTTTCATTCGTGGCTGGTTTCCCAGTGGCACTAAAGGCACCCAGCACATAGAAGGTGCCCAGATATTTGTGAAATAAAGGAATGAGTGAAAGATGTACATCTCAAATCTGGCTGCAACTCTAAAGGTGGACATAAGAACACACAAGAGATGACAATCGTAATTCCTCTTGTTGCCCAGGGATTTTTTTTAAAAAAGATTTTATTTATCTGACAGAGAAAGAGCACGAGCCTGGGGAGAAGCAGCAGGAGAGGGAGAAGCAGGTTCCCTGCCGAGCAGGGAGCCTGACGCAGGGCTCGATCCCAGGACCCTGGGATCATGACCTGAGCCAAAGGCAAACGCCCAATCGCCTGAGCCACCCAGGCGCCCCCGTTCAGGGATTCTTAAAGTCCATCCAATAACCCTGTGAGATGGGTGACCTGGACCATGCCCCAGCCTCTCATGCCGTCCCTCCTCCCGACTGGCCTGTCTAAAGCATCAGTACAAGCAGGCCAGCACCTGCTCGAAAGGTCTCCCTATATCCCCACTATTCGTAAGATAAAGCCCAGACCTCCTACCTTGACTTCCCACCTCAGAACACACCACCGTCACTCACGTACCCCAATTCCATTCCAAAGCGCTCCTCCCTGCATTTCCCCCCGTGCTTTTCCTCATGTTCCTCTTGACCCCTAGAACACCCTTCCCTCTCACATCCCCAGGCCCCACTCCTACCCTGCCTTCAAGTTTAGCTGCTCAGGCTTTCTTGACCCTTCTGAAGATGGAGGGGAAAGCCTGTTAAATATACAGATTACCAGGCACTTCCCTGGAAATTCTGATTCGGTAGAGCTGTGCTGCAGCCCAGAAATCTGGGTTTTGAGCAACGACTGCCGGAAAGTCTTATGTTTAGTCAAGTTTGGGAACAACAGTGTATCTGGGCTGTGCCAGCCGAGGCTAGGTTATGCTACATAACAAATATCCCCCAGATCTCGGTGATTTAATGCGACCAAGGCTTACTTTTGCAGCGCGCTTGGGTTACTTCCTGTCCTTCAAGGAAGATTCAGTACTTCATGTGGAGAAATTTTTTTTTTTTTAAGATTTTATTTATTGGACAGAGAGAGACACAGTGAGAGAAAGAACATAAGCAGGGGGAGCGGGAGATGGAGAAGCAGGCTTCCTGCAGAGCAGGGAGTCCTCCGAGTGCTCATTCCACGACCCCGGGATCATGACCTGAGCCGAAGGCAGACCCTTAACCACAGAGCCACCCAGGCACCCCAAAAATCTCAATTCAAGCAGATGTGAAAGAACACTGTTGTCCTGTGCTTCCATCCCTCACATCAGGCTTTCAGGTTTTATTTCTCATGGCCCTGGAATGTGGCCGCTCAGGCTCCTCCCTGTTTCCACTGCCCATTCAAACCATTGTGAACCTGTGACATGAACATAATGTCAATAACGTGGGTAACAGTAGAGATGGTAATAGTTAAATCTTACTTAGTGCTGATCATGTGCGAAGCCCTGCTTTACGTGTTTTGTTTGTATTAGTTAATTTTCACAACCACCATCTGAGGTTATCACCGACAAGGGAACAGAAGCACAAAGAGTTTAAGTAATTTATTCAAGGTAGGAGCTGGGCCAATCCTGGCAGAAATCCTGGACTACTGAACCGTTCGCTTTGCTGGTTGATATCTGACTGCCAGGGGCCTCATTCCAGCCCTTCTCTTCATCAGAACCAGAGTCCACGTTCTGCAGCAGAGACTGGATCGTGGCTCTGACTTTGGAGATATACTTTGGAAGAACTGATGTCATTGCAATACTGACATCCTCCTGTTCATTTACATGGTATATCTACCCATTAGTTTTGGATTTCTTTAAAATCTTTTGATAAAATTAAAAATGTTGGGGCACCTGGGTGGCTCAGTGGATTGAGCCGCTGCCTTCGGCTCAGGTCATGATCTCAGGGTCCTGGGATCGAGTCCCACGTCGGGCTCTCTGCTCAGCGGGGTGCCTGCTTCCCTCTCTCTCTCTCTCTGCCTGCCTCTCCGTCTACTTGTGATCTCTCTCTGTCAAATAAATAAATAAAATCTTTAATAAAAAAAAAAAATGTTCTGTCATGGGGTGCCTGCATGCCTAAGTTGGTTGAGCATCTGACTCTTGATTTCGGCTCGTGCCATGATCTCAGGGTTGTGAGATCAAGGCCGGCATCAGGCTCTGTGCTCAGCAGGAGTCTGCTTGAGATTCTCCCTCTCCCTCTCTTCCCCTCCCCCACTAAAATAAGTAAGTAAAATCTTTTTTTTAAAGATTTTATTTATTTATTTGGCAGAC